ATTTTGCATTTATATTCGAATTTCAAGAGAAATTTTAATAGAACTGCTTTGAGTTGCTACTTTATTGAGAAGTAAAAACATGTTCTTTTACAACTTAAGCTGTAAAAGCTTATAGTTTATGAGTTCCCTCTTCACCCTGCAATTACCTACAGGAGGAGATTGGCCATAGGTTCTATTTTATGAGTTTTATTGGGGCATATTCACCTCAGTTTACATATTATGAATTTCTGGAAAATGCTAGAGATTAGAGAAAATAAAGTGTGCCCTTCAAATCAAGACATTTCATTTCAACTCACACATTTATACATAAATAAGCTGTACCAAATATTATATTAAAATATGAAAAAGTTACATTTTACAAGTGTAATAATGTAGTATGTAGTAATCCTGTGAACCTAAAGAAAGGGCTAAATGATGATAATCTAACAACAGTAACAGCTTAAAATATTGCAAAATAAACATGGATATCTTATACTCCAAAAGAGACACAGAATGAAATTTAATTTGTATGATTAAGATCAGTACATTTATGAATAACTTTAGGGTTAAGGGCAAGCAACATCTGGACATCTCAGAAATATTTTCAGAATAACAAAATTTTTAAAGTTTTCTACTGATAAATTATGTGACAAAAATTTATCAATCAGCACTTAGAAAACTTGCATGAATGAATGGTTTATATAACTGGTCTTATAACGAAGAATAATACTGAGTCAACATATAAAGTTCAAATCAGCCAGGCTTGGTGGTGCATGCCTGTAATCCCAGCACTTGAGAGGATTGCTGTGAGTTCGAGGCCAGCCTGGGCTACATAATGAGTGCAAGGCCAGCCTGAATGACAAAGTTAGACCTTGTCTCAAAAAAAAGTTCAAATCAATCAAGTATATTTTAAATCTTAATAATTAAAATAGGTAAATTACATAATTGGTATAATGTGATGAGATGGTATGAGTTTTACTTGAACCTGTTTTACTAGATGTATAGGCTTCTGAGAAAATGCAAATTATAATTTTATAAACTGCAAAAATCCATTTGTTGAAACATTTCCACAAACACATTGCAAGATCATTGAATTATAAAGGAGTAATATTGAGTGTTACAGGTTTGAAATATAGAAACTTCACAAAAAATTGATTAATTAGAACAGGCTATTTTGATATTAGAATTTTATCATATCCATTTTTCCTGGAAGAGACTAAAAATTAATACTCTTCAAATCACTAAAATTTTTTTATACAAAGTGTGACAAAAAATATGGTGTACGTTAAAATTAAAAAAAAAATTATTAGAGTAAATGAATGACACATTGCCATTAATCCTTCTTGCTTCTTGCTCATCCCATTGATCTTACCACTTTCAGAACTAGTTCTGGAAGTCCCTTATCATAGGTGTCATTAGTTGTACTATTGCAGATGCCTTGATGTCTTGAGTCCATTCAAAATGTTTACCTTTCATGGTCACTTTGACTTTGGGGAAGAACCAGAAGCCACATGCTGTCAGATATGGTGAGTAATGTGGATGAGGACACAATGTAATGGTTTTAGGAGTTTGCCTCTCTGTTAGATGGCATGCAGCAGCAGTATTCATCATATTTAGGGCATTCTTCTTAAATATACAAAAGAGTACTTCCAGAGCTGCCTCAGAAAGTGGCAAGAATGGTGAGAAAAGCATGTTTAAAGAAAGGAGGGGGAGTCATAGTAATGTATCATTTGCTCTAATAAATTAAAAAAAGAATTTAAGCATTCACTGTATTTTTTGATCACATCTTTTATATTCAGCATGGCTTACTATGTTTTTGTTTGGTTTTTTTTGGTACTGGGGATTGAACTCGGGTCCTTAGCTTGCGAGGCAGACGGTAGAACCACTGAGCTAAATCCCCGGCCCCGGCTTACTATGTTTTAATGTATTTTACATGCATATTAATTCTGTCAGAAAACATAAAGAGCTATAAAATCTGCTATGAATATATTATACATTAAAAGGCAGGTATGTTTTAACAATACTTAATGCTAGTTGCTATTTCTCTTTGATTTGCAAATAAGTCCTCATTTAAATACAGGATTTAAGCCTTGGCTGACTTAACTATTAACTAACTTTTACACCTGCCTTTCAGTGTTCAAACAATAGCCTCTGATTAATGTGGGCTGATAGCCTTAATTTACTATAGGCTATAAGCAGGTGCAGGGACTAGTTCTTAAAAGGGCATGATCTACTTCTCATATAATATAACATTTTGATTGTCTCATGCCTTATTTGTTTTTCCTATAAAATTACAGTGTTTGAGTGAATATTATTTGGGAAAAAAAATCAATGAGAAGAAAGTGACATTTAAATCAAATCTGAACTAGGACATTAGGTACATAGAAAATAAAATGTATAATACAATATATGAGCAGGTCAAACAGGTTACCTCTACAAAAGAATAAATATCAGACTAATGTGTGGTATCTCTTACATAACACTAATCCCAGAAGACAAAGATGATCAACTTCTATAATGTTTTTAGGTAAAAGCTTATACCAAAATAATAAAAAAATATGTTGTATGCAATGACAACTGAGAAATATACATATACTTAGATAATTCACCAAATATTTTACATTTTTTGGAAAAAATAACTTCAAAATATACTCTTTGATTCTTTTTGATAGAGGGGGGTCATACCATGTGAAGATTTTCTTTTTCACTTTCTATTAAAGGCATCCCCAAAACAGGACATTATTTGTGTCAAAAAGAAAAAAAATTCCCAAATAAATAACAAATACATAACAAAAAACAAAAGCTCATGTGATAAAAAACCAAAAAGGAAATGAGTAAATTAATTAATAGAGGGAACATATAACAAAGGGATGGGTGGTTTTGTTCTTAGGCTAATCTATATTTACTTAAGGGACACTACATTGTATTATAGCACTATAGGATCAAACTATCCCCTATAACCATATATTTACAGAAAAGTTCATTCAGAATTTCAACTTGGACTATCAAGAAACATCATTCTCTTGAGAAATTCTCAGCTACTTATTTCCCTCACCTGCTAAAGAACTGCAACTAGAATCTACGTAGCTCTCCTAGATGAGCCACTGGGTACTTGGAACAAGAGGGAAGCAGAAGCAATAATGGATAAAGACAGAAGCTGAAAATTGGGGGTTAGTAAAAGGTTAAGAATTGTTTGGGTTCCCAGTGTCAGTCATTCTAAAATCTTGGTACACAACACTACTTTTTTCTCAGGCTCCGGGACTAACTTAATTTATTGTATCCCCCCTTTTCAAGCTAGGAGACTAAAAATTTTGGATTTAAAATTTTTTATCTTGTTAAATTTTTACATAAGCTTCTTCCTTCTTCCTTTATTCTAAACATTTTCTCCTGCAAAACTCTTTTAATGATAGAAATTGTTTACAGTAAAGCGACAGAAAGGAAGAGTAGCTAGTCCTTCCTCAGAAAAACATATCAGCAGAAAGGTGGGCTCAAGTCAAAACCTGGCCAACTAAAGGCTGTTTGGGGAGTATATGTATACACCAAGTACATGAAAAATTATTGGTAGGACAGAGTAGATATGGTACTGATACACCAGAAGCTACCGTTTCATAGTCCAACCAGAAAAGCCTCGTCAAAAGACTAGCATCACTGAAACTTTTAGCATTAGGTTTAGTGTCTAATTCAAGAAATTATTTTGATATCATTAAGGCATTACTGTAAATACTAAAACCATTCTTTCTTGTAACTTCATGCACATTAACTTTTACTACTTCATCATTTAATTAGCATGGGATGATCTGCAATCAGCTTAGAGGGTACAATAAGAAAATTTGGCCAGGTTGTGCTTTCCTGAGTCCCAGAATGTATAAACAAAACAGAAATGTAAACAGAGGTGCCACAGGGAAGCCTGTGGGAATAAAACAAATTTCAAAGACATGTAAAATAATTAACTGATTCTAATACTCAAATACATTAATAAATTTCCTTAATTGGTAATTTTAATTTTTTAACAACAAGCAACAAAACTTATGTAATGTTATGGTTACTCTTTAAGGATTCTTACTAAAGGATAAATGAAAAACATACAATAGCCAAGTACTTTTTATGATTAAGCTAATGACTAATTCCTCATACACTAGTTTTTTCTGGAGAATCACATATAAATGATCACACATGTGAAATCAACTGGTCTTATAGATTTATTACAGATAGAGAATGGAGTCATTTTTCTCGTGAGACTTTATCAGTCAATAAAATGCAAATACAGCTTATTATCGTCTTTATTTTCTTATAAGAGGTATTACCAAATCTTTCTCACAATAGTCAATGGTGAATTATATGAAATACTTGAAAGAAAAGATAATACATAGAAAAGATAGAAAAGATAATACATGAAAAAAGATAATACATAGAAAAGATAATACATGATATTATGTTAAAGTAAAATTAAGATGCCCTGTGGTCTATATCACCTCATAAATCTTTCAACTAGCAACTAGCAAATGATGTATAGTTCATAAAAACATATTCAGAGACTAAAAGGAAGATCAATTTTTTTGCCTTTTACAATGTATTTTTTTAAACATAGCGAAAGTACTGTAATTAAATGCCCTTTGTTGTCTAGTAGTAAAAAAGGAACAAATGGTAAGATTTTTCCTTCTAAAGCAAAGTAACCTGTAAGAAATGAAGCATAATAGAGTTCTTTCACAATTATAAGCATAATAATATTGTACAAAATAACATTCATTTTAATAGAAACATATGTATATCAGTTTGCATAAAGTTTTACATTATTTTATCAAAGTAAAAACTATTTTAAGTTAAAAACTCATACAAATAAGTACATATAAAAAGTATTTTACTACATTTTGGCAAATATTACAAAATTTTCTTGCAGGGATATAACTTTTGGCAAAGGAAGGTTATAATAATTTTCCACAATGCCACTGTGTGTCCTTGTACCCAGCATAATTTTATAGTTTCTTATCAACTTTTAACAATGGAGAAAGAGATTGGCTTACCGTTGGTGCTGAATCTACCTGATGGTTACAAGGCCTTCTTTCTATGCTGATATTCCCTATGGAAACAAAAAAATTGTGAACACTTGGTTATTAGGCCTAATCATTTTTTCAAACATTTATGTCAGTATGATATAACTCATATAGTTTACAAGAAGAAAGCCTCACTCACACACAGGACTTTCACACTGTATTAAGAATTTTCTGGTCAGAAGTAGTTAGTTTAGCTAATTCACCTGACTTAAAGTTAGTTAAGCCAATCTTCCCATTCAAGTGGTGTCCAGCAATACAGCAAGATGCATCCATATCTTGCTCTCAGCTCAAAAATTATACCATTGTCTGGACTTAGCTGTATTTTTTTCCATGATAATTTGATTTCTGACTTGAGGTCAGCAACCTTTATAAAGAAATATAATAAAAGCTATAAAAGGAATCACTTCCTTATTTTCTGTTCGAATTTCTCTTTGATCTGGCTTACTACTATGAAATATCCTGCTATTTATTCAATTAACATGAAGTGCCTGAAAAAAAAAATTTCCATGATTCTCTCCTTGAGGGTGACAACACTGAATGCTAATCTTCAGAACTATCCCCTTATCATGTGTGGATTTATCTTTTTGTTCCCAGTGTTCTCTAGTGTTTTTTTTTTGTAATAAGCGGCCTTTAAAGATGTAATACATTGAGTCTCATCTGTACCACACTGGTTCAAGTCACGCTCATGTTAAAAGTGAACACTGGTGTGAGTTTCATTTACTTTGCAATCTCTGTCCGTCAGTAAACAAGTGAGTTAGTTTGTTCAAATAACACCAAAGGCCATTGCACAGGACTGGCTAAGGTGAGAGTTGTCTGTTCATAGCAATCAGCAGAATTCCTAGTATGAAATGTTAGTCTCTACCTTTTATAAACATTTAATTTTTCTAAGTATAATAAAGGATTACATAAGATCAACACAAAACAATTGGTTTTTATTAGAGAATTATATTAAAAATGAACAAAGAAGGGCTGGGGATTTAGCTCAGTGATTCCGCCACCTGTCTTGCAAGCGCAAGGACCCGAGTTCGATACCCGGTACCAAAAAAACCCAAAAAACAAACAAACAAAATGAACAAAGAACCATAAATATTTTTAAAAAGTTTTTTTCATTAAAAAATTCTTTCAATATCTATTGTTAGCCATTGAAGTATGAAGTAATATACTACCTTCATTCAACTAATATTTATTGGGTGACTACTTGCCACTCATTGATAAAAGATGAATAAATTATGATTTACAACTTCAAGAGTCTAATAAAACAGAAATGATCTTCTTTTGGTGGGGAAAAAATGAACCAGGTTTTGTCTCCAGTGTATTATGTCTTTAAGGTAATTTTGATGGAAAGACATTTTTTTCATTAACACCAGCTTTGCATTACAAGTTTTTAAAAAAGATGAATAAAACATACTAGAAAATATTCAAGTAACACAGATTCTTCTAAGAATTTAGTAACACTGAAGTATACAGAACAAATGGTGAAATCCTCACTTTCCAGGCCCCACGTCTACAACCCTCCTAGTTGGAATCACTGAATGCAGTCTGCTATGACGTACTTGCTTTCAAATGAGCATGGTAATACCATGAGGTTCAGGAACTGGCAATATCTTACATGTGAATTCTCATTATTGTAATCTTACTGTCACAAAACTGGGCTAGACAAAATATCTACTTTAAAATTCTCATCCAATCAGAAAGTAACTTTAGTTGGAAATAAAGAGTAACTGTAGAAACAAAAACAAAGCACTTCCAAAATCTATACAACTACAAGAAAAATAAATTATTTTAGTTTTAATTTAAGAATGTAGGGCTGGGGATTTAGCTCAGTTGGTTTCGCCGCCTGCTGCGTAAGCGCAAGGACCCAAGTTCAATCCCCAGTACC